GTCTTTCCGCCTCCATAACTAAAATGCCAAATTGGAGTGGCACAGCACGGTTTTCATCACTCTCTGCGGGAGTGCTGGCTGTGACGAATTAAACCAGTTTCACAGGTATTTTCAAAGTAGAAGGGTCTAGCAAAGTCATGTATCATAAAAGTATGGCAGTTAAAAACCTTTAATACTTTCGCTTGGGTTTAAATAAAGTCAATGTTTTCTCTTTTGGGTAGACTTGACTATTCAGCCATGAGATATACAATAGATTGTCATTAAACAACCTTATGTTTATTAATCTTCCGTGTTATGCACAGTGGGAATGGTAATGTAATGGGCCGAGTGGCCGAGTGGTTGTCCGGCCAGGCAGCTTATACACTGCACAAGCCGACGCACGTACGCTTTAAGAGAAACAAGACGTTGGTGTCTGAAATGGACTGGCAATGGCAGGCCAACTTGGTGGACATGAGAGAACACTACGAGTTCAACGACGGTTTCTGTTACATCTTAACATGTATAGACATGTTGTCTAAATACACTTGGGCCGTTCCGCTGAAAACCAAGTCTGAAGGGGCCGTGACAGGCGCCTTCCGAAATATACTGCAAGAGGGTTGTGCTTCTAAAAAGCTACAAATGGATGAGGGTAAAGCATTTCTTAACAGGACCTTCCAAAAATGAGAATATTGAACATTTCGTTACGGCCAGCGATGTGAAGGTTAGCATGGTGAAGGCTAGCGTGGTCAAGAGGTTTAACAGAACTATTAAAACAAAAATGTGGAGGTACCTGACACACAAAAATACCTTTCGATATATCAACATCCTATCAGATCTTATTTACTCTTATAACCATAGTTACCACACGACTATTAGACGAACCCCGGCTTCTGTTACAGCCGACAACTCCCTTGATGTGTGGAGAACGGTCAACATTTTAATTCAATGTGGGTGATTGCGTGTGGGTGTCCAAAATAAAGGGAGTGTTTGAGAAGGGATATGAACAGACCTTCACAGATGAAATTTTCATTGTCAAAGAGCGGGCCTTGGCTCTGAGACCCTATTACAAACTGCAGGACTACGCTGGCGATGACATTAAGGGCTCCTTCTATGCAGAAGAGCTATAGAAGATAAACCCCAATGTTGAAAACGTCTACTGCATCCAAAAGATTTTAGCAGCCAGGGGGCGTGGCAAAAACAAACAGCTTTTGGTAAAGTGGTGCGGCTGGAGCGAAACATTCAATAGTTGGGTAAAGGGTTCTGAGGTCCGAGACATATAGAGGTGGTGAAAAATGAACCTTAATGGCTTCTATGTTACACTGGCCAGTTATTCATCCTCAAAGGTGTTTCCAAAGAACACCAGCGCGTGCTTCACAGAGCATCCAGCAAAGGCGATTGACCTGGACGGGAGCTGGGAAGTGGGCCTGGTCGAGCTATACTATCCCCATACACTAAACACATTTGATGAAGACTAAGTCTTTCTGTTTGTCAGCGAAGAGCTCAAGACTATATGGACATGTACCTTACCTAGAGGGTACTACAGCAACATCGAGCAGCTCTTGCATGAAATGAAATGGGCGGCGGAAAAATCCAATTAACGACTTTAGGTCTTAAATACATCCCCATTAGCTGGTCGGTAAAGATTGTTGGTGATAAACGGTTTGTTATACATGTGCATAACCGTCTGGCAAGGATGTTGGGTTTCAAATCAGGTGTTAGAAGTGTAAAATCACCACCCCCCGTCAATATGACTGGCTGATTTAACACCATGTATATATACACAGATATCATAGAACACCAGTTAATAGGCGACGTCTACGCACTGCT